GGCCAGATTTTTTCTGATGTCGCTGAGGAGGACGTCCTTGATGCAATGAATCGCGCGCAACCCCATTTTCTTTCTCTGTAGGTTTTCCTCTGCCTATTCATGACGAATGTTAATCTCTTGGCCCAGGTAAATGTATTTATTTGCTTATTTGATCTTTACACTGTTTAGTATTACCTCGGATCAGTATCTTATCGTTATGTTTGTGAGAGGTTTCTGAAGGCCAGGGATTAATTTCGATACTCGTTGTTGCCATCGCATCTGGTTTTTCACTGGTCGTTATCTAATCCGAGTATGACAGATATAACGATTGACTTATGGAGAGCTTAAATAATAAAATAATATAATACCTAACTGAGGTTAATTATTGACTAAAGATAGACTTAGCTAATATACTATTCAAATTTATTCGACGTCATGCTAAGCAGGAAAAATTTTTATCTATCCTTCTTGTTTCCATTTCCTGGTTGCTCAACAGTTTATACACTTACCATTATACAACGCATTAAATATTTCTTCATCTAGCTTCGGAGTGCAGTTTTATTAATTTTTGATACGAGTTATCCGTTAGGCAAAAACATTAACTGGTTGAAGGCCGTTATAAAAAAGCTAGATTATACGGGAAATGCAAAATATTGTTTAATTTGTCTTTGCTGCTATTTTTAGAATTCTGAGGATGTTCTATTAGTACTAGTTTTATTGCTTATCTGAAATTCATGCTATGCCCTGAATATTGTTTAGCCAAATTGATAAACGAATAAAAATAACGTCAATGTGACCAGTGAAAGTATAATATTCCTAAGTTTTATCAGTACTGATCGTTAACAGTTCATTTGCATAAACAGCCACCTCCAGGATCTTGATAAATCCAACCTCAACGTGCTCTTCGCGGAGCGCGGGCGCAAACCAGGAAAATGGGATCGAAGTAGGAGGAATGTGTTTACCCTTTCTTGAAAGCGAATCTACTTAAGAGTTGTAGGAGGGATCAATCCACAATGAAAGCGTTATGAAATCTTTTCGCCTTTCCGCCGACTCTCTGAACAAAATATGTCTGTTCGTTGGTGCGACGAACGAAAGATCTAAAATACTTGGTAAATGATATCGAAGAATAGAGCAGATCGTTCGTGTAGTTTTAATGGTAATGGCATATAAAATCCGTTTAAATAATGATACATAGGTTGAAATTTGAACGTCAGCGTAGAACAACATGCACGTCATTATGGAGAGTGATATTTGTCATTTATCAAAACGATATGTTGTTACAATAGTAGAAATCAGAGGATTTGAGGCAGTGTTCTGTGGGCAAATTATTTATTTGGAAATGAGGATATTTCAGGCCCAGCTATTTATTATTGCATTGGTTTATTGAGTGTTCTCCCAACATCAATGATCATAATCGAAAGACCGATAGTAAGCGGGCGGCTTTTCATTGCCCCTGTCGAAGCAAAGTCCAACGTGTATGCTTCAATAGTCACGAAGTGGCTTAAGGTTTGCAAGAGGATTTCCTGCTTTAGACCGATATGCTTGGAATTGCCAAACAAAGTACAAAAATTGTCCCGTTTTCAAAGATGAAAATATGCATATTTCTGGATAAAGCTTTTATGTTGTATTTACTAGGTTTCGACTCCCTAAAATGACACAAATGGTATTATGCTTTGCGATATCTTAAACCCAACGTCTTCCAGAGCTTTAGTTCGAGCCAATAAGTTGTCACTCTCTCTTAAGAGTGTGGACGACGCGTTGCAAAGATTTAGCTGTATTTTCTCCAATGATCAAAAGAGATTGTAGCTTCAGATTTTTCTGTTCAGATTCATGCTTTGAGAATTGTTCTCCAATATACTGTGCTCCTAAGTTCGAGAAAGCCTTAATGCACATCCGATTGTCCAGATTAGGGATTCACAGCTGCGAATGTTTTTGAAACAGAAGGCTGAGCAACTACTACTTGCTCAGCTGGAAGGCCAATGATCCGAGAGACGGTCAAGAATGACCTGGGACAGCTGTTTCTAAGGACTCTCTTCCAGACGTGGATGGTCTTCCACCAAAGCTCAGACCCTTGCAAAGAATCAGGGACGTTGGAGGCATTGTCTAACGAGGATAAGCGGTCGTCAGAACTAACTAGCATCGTTCTCCATCAAGCAATATGAGATTTGACTCTTCTGAATAACGCTCTCTCGTTAGCCGACTGTTTCAACATTCATGGGAGATCTTCGTCACCAAGAACAATACGCACCATTGTAGTCAGTCATTAACTTTGACTTCTACTAGTTCTCCGCGACGTGGCGCCGCTGTTGCACTTATGGAAGCCAAATGGCTTAACATATTCTAGAATAATTCACTATTTCCCTGAGCTCCTTCAGACGAGGGAAAAGAAAAGTCGATTTGACTTACATATGTTTTAATAGGTAAATATTTGGCATGTATTTGAATAATATCATATCCTTTAGATTGCTAGCAGAGGGGCACTTTTTGAGAGATTTGCTTAGATATATTGTCAACGTTGTCGTCATAGTAGGCTAACTGGGCCTTACCAGTGGAATTGCTCAAATTGGCAGGTTTTGCCGGGTGCTTCACGTTTGCGTTAGACATCTGAGGTATAATCCTCATCGTAATTTGGTTCTTCTCTAAGGTGTTTCTTCCACCGCGTCTGCTACC